AGGGCGGTAAAAGGTAGAAACAAGGCATTTATGCACATTACATGAGAATGCAAACAGGACCTGCCTTTACTGGGTAAACCTCATTAGAGCCTGGGCTCTTGCTTTGCTGTTAGCTCACAGTGGGCAAGACATGGAGCTAACACCAAAGCTGCAACTCTGAAATCATCCAGTCATGTTTGCATTGAGAGTTATCTTAAAGTAATGCCCCCATACATCAAAACTAAACTCAGGAAAAGATGCTAAAAATGAAATCAGAAGAGCAAAAAGCAGGTAGATAACACTTTTGATCTAAAGACCCTGCTGTCACTTTTTTTGTTCCACCATTACCTACTTTTATGAGCTGGTAACCAGAGAACACAAAAATTACACAAGTTGCCCAAGGTGATACAGTGAACCAGCAGCACACCAGAGAATACAACATAGATCTTGCAAGTCCTAATCTGCCACCCCGCCTGCCTGCCTCCCTCTCATATCTGTTGCATCCCCAGGAGACAAATATGGCTTTTGCAAAATGGAGTTCAACCAGAATGCATTTCCTGATCACATACAGGAATATGTATTATAAAAGTACTCTTATTATTGCCTTTACATGGAGTAGCACAGGGACATTGAAATTAGAATTCCCGAGGAATTAAAAAATAATACTGATAATGGTATAAACTATGTCCCCACACTTCAGTGCCCTGCTCAAGACAGCCCTGTCTACCCAAGAGACAGGAGACTGGAGTCACAAACAGAGATATGGCTGAGATGCCAGTTGTTTCTTACAGGGAAAGGGTAATGGAGTGAGCAAAAAAATCAAAGAAAACATAGTTGTGCATATGATTGTGGGCAAAGAGGGAGGAAGGGCCTGCCATAAAAAGAAAATAAATTAAACTCTCCTCTCCACTGCTCAGCAATGGGAGGGGAAGATGTATGGCAAAGTCAGTTGTAGTTGAGGTTAGGAGTCATGGGTGCTTGTAATTTAACCCTGGATCTGGCTCTGCCTTGGTTGAGGGCACTGGGCAAGGCAGTAAAATTCTCCACCTTCTTTTCTCCATCTGTAAAATGAGGTCTTGGACTGCAGGGTGGATTAAAGAGCAGCTGTACAAAGCTTTGAAATATACAACTGTAGATCAGGGCTAAATAGCTCTGTTTCTGCCATAAACACTCACTTTGGGCCAATATATGTTGACATGATGTTATAGAACCAATATTAGATGATACAAAGATGGGAATGTTGATTAAATGGATAGGTTAGCTTCAGGGGAAAGGCTTATGTGCTTCATGATGTAAACACATGATTTTTCAATGGGCACCAGAATTCAAGAGGCAAATATATTTTTTCTATTTTCTTCTAATTTTGTACATACACAGTTTTGTACTGGGCTGTCTGTGAACTGTACAGGTACTCAGGCAGAGCACAAAATTTAACCTAAGGCTAACAGTGAAGGATATGAATTAGCTGTATCCTTCAAAACTGTCAATATAGGTCTGATGCTTCATGTATGACATTCAGGGCAGAAGCACCTACACATACAAATCATGCATTTAAGAGCACTGAAAGACAAGATCTTAATCTCAAGAAAAAATGATGTCTCTCCAATGTGTCAGAACTTCAAAAGTAATTGTGAGGTCTGCTGGTGATTCTCTTAAAGACTCTTTAGAGCTCCTTTTACAGGGGCCTTGGGCTGATTCATGTTGATCGTGTCTGACAGCTAGCATTTCTGTTAATAATAATCATAAATAAAGTGGACAAGGTTGCCTGACCTGAAATGAGCATATCTATAGTGCCATATCCATTACAGCACAGTGGATCTGTGGCCGCAAATCAGGAAAGGTCCAGTGCTCTTGACATTTTGTATTAAAATAATATCTGTCTTTTAAGAGCTCAGAATCTTTGTATGCTATCTTTTTCATTAAAAATTTTTCCTTAGGAGAGACCATTCATGCTTATAAGAACGGAGATATTACAGAGGATGAAAGATTGCAAAACTTCACAATTCTTTATTATGCAATAAAAATACATTTGTGAACAGCTCTATTCTCCCTTATATCTCACCTCCTCCTTCATGTTCTCCTGCATTGAAGTAATAATCCTGGGTTTATGCCATCATAAATCGGCTGACATGTGAAAAATTATACTATTATCAAACACATCAAAACAGAATTATGATTTCACTGCTGCAGGACCAAATGCAAACTGGATCTGGGCTAAAAGAAAGTGAAACTTGATTAATTTCTGGGCAGTGGTTTGCTACTAGATAGGGATGGTGATAATTTTTTTTTTCTTTAGTTTCTATGAAACCCCTTGTACTTATGCACAAATACAGGTCATTCCAAACAATACAGGAATTACTTGCTGATATAGGCAATCACATGCAAAAGTAAAGTTCCACAGATGATACACTCAAAATCTCTCCACATCAGATGACAAGCTGAATTAAGAGAGAAGCTTTGTAAATTACTTTGAGGGAGGTTGATGCTCTAGGCTATGCCAAGTCCACTGGGGCAGGCAACTTCCAAGGACACAGGCTCTCCACTGAAAGCCCTCCACCCCCATTCAGGTCCAGATAACTGCAACATTGAGGACAAAGGAAAGAGGAACAAACCCACACCAGAAATTAGAATAAAGAGATGAAGCTCTTGGCCAACAAAAAAAAAAAGCTGTGCTTGGTGAAAAAGACAGGTTAGATGTTACACAGCAGTAGAAAAGTAGCAAAGCTAGGACTCCTCATGGTTCCTTCTAAGGAAAGGTTCTTGCTTGCCCCTTCACTTGCTAACTTTGCATGTCTGTACTGTGTGACAAACCAGTGTCAATGTTCTGCCACGTAGGCTCAAGGCTGGAAAAGTCTCTTCTCACCTGGTGTGTCCTCCTGACTGCTACAAGAACAACCTGAAACCTGAGTCTCAAATAGTCCTCTCCTCCAAAACTCCCTTCTTTTGGCCACAAACACAATGTTCAGTCCTGCACAGGGGTTATCAAAAGCCAAAGTTGTGAGCCAAAATACAGCCCTGGTATAAAATACAACAAACACATCTGAAGCTCGTCTGTCATTACAACACAGAGGTAATGCTTTTCCCACTCATATCTCCAGCCTTGTCCAGCCTCCAATGTGCTATCAAAGCAGAGAGAAGTGAAATGAAACTAGTTTTATGAGCATCAGAGTAAACAAATCCTGGTCTTCTACTGATTTACTTTTGGGAGGAACTCTTGAGTCTAAAGAAATCAGAGGCTCTGCCTAAAGCTTTTCTCAGAGTATTTTTATAAAATATCTCCCCTAGGGAAAGAGTGGGGGGGTGGGAGACATTGTTCTCTAGTGTCTAATCTGTTCCTTCATCTGCACAGCTGCCTGTTTTCACAGAACTTGATAAATTTTTGCATCTAAATGACCTGTGGAAAAAGTCTATGTTACATGGGCAACTTCTCCACAAGGCACAATCCAGTTGTCAGCATGCACACACAAATTCCATCACTGTGGACAGCTTTGTTTTCCTTTTCCACAACACACAAATCATCCCTATTTTTCTTGCAAGTTTATATTTGAAAGGAGCTTTTAGAGGAAGAGCTCCTCAGAAAGAGGAAAATCAAATTATTACCACTTAAACTGAAGGGATAGGAAAGATATTTTTTCACAGGATGCAAAATTAACTTCAGAAAGATTATTTAATCACTTCAACTGGGTTTGCAGTATGTAGAGTGATCACTTTCAGATGCATACTCTGAACAGGTACAATCAGCCATGCATTTATGGATATTGTTTTAATAGCGGTATCTATAGCATTCACATCTGTGTTGAATGTGTTCTTCCTGCCACCATAGTCAAGAGCATAAAGAAAGAGAGAGTTATGCATTACTCAGTTTGTTCACTGCAAATGAGGTGAGTATTGTAGCAAGTGGAATGGCTGGTGACTTAGGAAAACTACAAGAAAAAAAATTTTGGACAGCCAGAGCTACTGTAGGATTAGTCACTGATACTCCACATACCTGTGTACACCAGTTCCAATGTCAATGTGCATTTTTTTCAAAAGTAGGTTAGGCAGGACTTGCACTACAGGTTGGGAAAACAGCGTCCAGGAAAAAGGCGAGCTGACCAGCTCATGAATGCTCCCCATCCCTGTTCTGCAACTTTATGAAACTCATTCTGGTGGGAATATGTACAAGTTGCAACTGCACAGACTCTTGGTATTACACAGGAGGTTCTTGTCATCTAATAAAAATGTCCTGATGTAGTGTGAAAGCTACCGAGGATTATATCTGAACAAAGGTGAAGTCTTTCTGATTTGTATCATGATCACTAAAAAGGTTTCAGTTGCAAGTCCTTCAGTGCAGTAGTTCCTATATATTGTTCTTAATATAATCTGTTATTTTTTATCAATAAATTAGTGGGAAAAGGAGTCTCAAGTCAAAACTTAAAAAGCAAGAATTTCAGACACAAGATAACATCTTTCAAGGCACATGGGTGCAATTCGTTCCATCTTCTATGCAGGAAGAAAGAATTCAGCAGTTTCAGATGTAGGGCATCTTGCACCTTTGGGTATCCAGAGCACACAAGGAAAAAAACTGGGCTCACAACAGATGTAGCTATTTGGCAAGACTCTGGTTTTGGGCTGGTGAAATGTGCATAATAAGAAGGAAGTCTGTGTCCAAAGTGCTTAAGAGTAACAATTACATTTCATGGCCTAACAAAGGCATCTTTCGGGAATCAAATCACAAGTATATTTGTATAAATAAATACTTGAATGTGGCTGTCATTGGCATTACTAACCAATTTTTGTTCATCTGAAGTAAACCTAAGTGAAACAGGTGTGGGAGAGACTCCACTGCCAAGGCAATGAAACCACAAAGGATTTGTGCATGTTCCAAACTGAAGCAAGGCAGAGCCTAGGAAACTTACCCTGTCCTCTCTTCTCAGCTAAGAATGGTATTTAACTAGCTTACCTTTAGAGCTAGCCTACCCACCATATTACTAGTTACCTGCTTTGATCTGCATCCCTCTTTCACACCACCACAAGCTTACCTGCATTTGATCGTTTCTTTGGATTTTTGAGACTTCGGCACCTGCCGCTCGCAGAGCTACTGTTCTCGCTCATGGAGTCTTGAGCTGATGAGGCACTCCCTGTCGCCTCGCTGTCCCTCATCATGCTCTCATAGCCACTGCTCCCCCCGCTGTGGTAGAAGAGGGCTGTTTTCCCCATGGCAGGGGGCAGCTCCCCACTCAGGACACTGCTATTGTCGCTCCCATGGCCACTGCTGCAGCGGTGAGGTTTCCGAGGAGGGGTGATCTTGCTGTAAGGTGAAGGCAGCATGTGAACAGCTGGCTTCTCATCTCCGGGAAGGCCCCCACGCTCATCTGCCTCTGAGCTTCCCTGCAGCTGTAAGCCTCTGGCACTGGCACTCCCTTGGAGCAGCTCTGAAATCCGCCCATTGACAGCCCGAAGAGGCAATTTGGAAGCAAGGCTGGAGCCCCGGCTTCTGCTGAGGGACTGCATTGACCAGGACATGTTCTTCCCACTTGGGGGCAAACTGGAGCTCTGCCCTACGGACTGAGGCAGAGATTTGGTGGAGAAGCTGAGTGTTTTGGTGGCAGAGGCAGACAGGCTGCGGGCCTTGGGACTTGCCAGCAGGAGCTTGCTGACTGCAGAGATCTTTGACTGGCTGGCTTTTGGGGAGGCACCTGCTGACTGGGAGAGGCCCGAGTTGGTGGGTGAGGACATGGCACTGCGGCTGAGGCTCCTTCCAGCCCTGGGCATTGTGGTGTCTCTGCCAGGGCTCATCTTGGAGCTCACAGATGACAGGCTTTCTGCTCTTTCCAGTGACAAACACTCGTAGTGGCTTCCTGTGGACCTCCCAAGGGAGTTGGTCCTGCTGGCAAGCTGCTCCAGTTTGGCACTGAAGAGCTTGCTGCTGCTGTTGTTGACACTGCTATCAATGCCAGGGCCCTTTTGTTTGGGATTCAGCTCCTCAGGGAAGCTGGCCAGGAAGGACACAGGCTGGCTGGAGGGACTGCTCGTGGTGCTGCTGGCTGCACTGTGCTGGGGGCTGGCTCTGTTCTTCTGATCCAAGCTTGACTTTCTCACTGGTGGCAGAGGAGGGGTCCCTTTGGGACGAGTGAGGATGCAGTGTTTGGGAGATACCATTTTCTTGTCAAGACTAGCCTTAGAAAACAGGAGAAGGGCAGGAGAACTGACTCCACTGCTGTCAGTGGCCGTAGGATGGAGATGACTGTCAGACTCCTCCACCTTGCTTGCCTTCGGGAGGCCTCGAGGGAGGCTAAAATTCTTCAAGCCATCACTGGAATGAACAGGACTTTGGGTTGCAGAGCTAGATGCTGCCACCTCACACCCATCCACAATCCTTTTTAGACTGTCAGATCCTGGTGAAATAGAAGCATCCCCACTGCTGGTGCTAAACCTGTCCACTGAGGACTGCTTTGTGCTGTGCTCGGGCTTGGCTGAAACCACAGCCGTGTCAGGCCTTGGCCCATCACTGCTCTCAGAGCTGTCCTTTTTAACATCTTCTTCTCTCTTCAGCCAAGGGTCTTCAAATTTGATATCCTTCTTAGCACTAGATTCTTTCCTGTCATGGGGATGAGTAACCTTTGTGTCTACAGTTACTGCCGGTACAGCATCATCAGTGTCTTGTGCTTTGAAGGGATTAACAGCAATACATGGGTACACAGTAATGTTTGTCTTCATTGGGATGTAGCCTTCACAGCTGCTAAGGCTTGTGGTGTTTTTGATTGTGACAGTAGTTTTTCCTAGAGCTGATATTTTACAGCCTTTGATGGGTGGCACTTTGCCGAAAGCTTCCTCCCCCATTTCCGACAGTATAAGCATGTTGTCAGCCACTGACTTCTGTTTATCACTTACACAAATCATGCTGGCACTTTGTATGGTGCTTGCAAACTCAGAGACAGGGGGTTCTGCCATAGCTTCCCCATGCCCATAGCATGCCTGGGCTATGAAGCTATGGCACGACTGTTCACCATCACTCCCTGTGCTCATTTCACTCAACCATGAGCTGATGGATGAGCGCCTGCTGCCATCATCTTGGGATTTGTCATCTAGACTCAACTTTGGAAGTGGAAGGAACTGTGTGATGCTGACTTCAGACACAGGAGCTGCACTGGAGTAACATTCAAGATCTTCAGATATGCTGCTGATAATACTGACTGGTCTAGACCCAGAGGCCAAAGCCTGCACTGAGCAGTCACTGTTAAAACTGATGATACTGGTTGGGCGCCCATTGTCAAGGACCCCACTAATGGTTAGCTCTTCTACAAGAGTGAACACCAGCTCGTCCTCTCCATTCAGCTCCAAAGGTTGCTGAACGGTCACCATGGTGGTGCTCAGAATCTCCTTCTTGGATTCTGGAGAAATGCTTTGCTGCTGATCTTCATTGAGAACAGTCTCTTCAAAATCTCCATTGCTGGAGGACACCGACTTCTTCATAATCTGAGGGCTCATGCCTACAGGTGGGGTCCGAATTTCTGGTTGTAATAAAGATTCACTAGATGTCATCCCAGCATCCTTACTCAGGGGAGCTGGTGGGGGAGTGGAGCTGGGCAGGACTCCTTTCTGTGTATAGACCTTGCACCTCTGGGAAGGAGAAGTTGGTGGCTTATACTCAGATGTCTTTGAGAGGCTTGCAATGCCAAGTCGGGGTGAACCCATTGGTCGAGGCTTGCCTTCCACAAATCCACAGGTGTTGAGCCCTTCTCTGCTGCTCTGTAAGCTGGTGCTGTGTGCTAATTGACAAGAGCTAAGCTCTTTACTAGAGCTGCCTGTTACACTCCTGGGAGAAGAAGGAGTTGAAAGATTAGTAAGAGCTCCAGAAGGAACAGGGGAGTGATTTCTCTTAGTTTTGCTGGGCGTTGCATTTATATTTTCCTTGGCTTCTCTATCAGGATGCTGACATTCTGGCATCGTATCTTCCTTATCTGACTCTGGTAAGTGGCTAAGTTCTGCCAGCTGGCTTGAGACAGAGCACTTAGACATCTGGTCTGAGCTAAATTGAGCAGGCATCTCTTCAAAGGGAAATTTGTCAGTCTCTTCACTGCCATCTATGCAATCCAGCCTCTCCTGGAGCTCTGCAAAGGTGTTGCACTTCAGGCAGTCTCTTTCAGATGTGCTGGGCCCTGACTCACTAATTTCCTCCAACCTGCCTTCATTTTTGGTTTTTTGCAGAGCAGGAACTATGGGAACAAAGTCAGGGGGACCCTCATTATCTGTCAGTTCCTTATCAGAAAGGGCAGTGCCATTGGGACCAACATAAATCACCGTATCACATGACTGCTCACTGCTGGATGAATAATCAGGATCACTTGATAAATGCAAAATAGGAAAGTCTGGGTCAACAGTGTTTCTAGAATGGAAAGGTCTCAGCTGGGTTGGCCTCCGCATCCTGCCCTCCTCACAAGAGCTTTCTCCTCCAGAAGAACTCGATGTGTACTGCAATATGAAAGAGAGTCTGTGATATTTCAGCATTGTAAACTGCTCCTTGCACAAACTGCATACACAAGAAGGTCACAGTCACATCTAAACTGGGATCTCTAAACTAAGGCACAGAGCTTTAAAGCTGCTTATCCACAGTCCTACAGCAAACACGCAATGGAGAACCCAATACTTCAACTCTGAGTCCCACTCAAAATCATGAGACTTCCAAAAAAAAGTGCTAAAAAAATTAATTAGGACCCCTCCCTTAGTTGAGCCTGTCCAAAGAAATCAGATATTTGGCAAAACCTTTGCTGATTTTGTGTGTGTGTGTGTGTGTGTGTAGAGGATCAAGAAAACTCATTACATATGACCCTCTTTGGTCCTACTTATAGTATATGGGATTGGATAACATGCACTCAGAGGTCTCTGGAGACACAGCGCTGCGACGATGTGTGGACCAAATTTCTTCACTTGCCTCTCTTCGGTCAATTGACAAAAAAATCTTTTGTCAATCTCTGGGCAGTCAATTTAAGTGAAACACATAACATTCACTTGTTCTGCTCAATTCACACCATAAGCTTCATAGAAGGAACCGGGACTCTAAAACATGAAAACAGGTACAGCCCATTCTCACTTGTTTCTTGGAAAATCCACCACCCTTATTTAGAAGCAGTAGGAATAAAAAAGGCACCAATGCTGCCAATGGACACACTGTTTTGCATTTATTTTGCTACTGCTCTCTCTGAGAAGCATAGAGAATCTGATACTTAATTAATCTCAATTTCCTTTAACTCTGCAGCAGTTTTGTTCCTTATTATTTCATTAGCACTAAGAGCATAATGGAAAATAAATGCTCTCTGACAGTTATATCATTAAATGAGGGCAGCTTACAAACCTGCTACAGCAGATATGTCTGAACTCACTCCTCTGTCTTTGAAACTGATGCATTTACCCGCCCTAGTCTCTGATATGTGCTCTGTGACACTTGCCTAGGACAGGGTATATACAACCCATACACTTTGGAATTGATTACTGATTTTTTACATTTTGCTCTACCCTATTAAGGAACCTTCAGGATCCTTTTTCCTCCCTCCTCCACCATCACAAGGGAGTTATACATTGTCTTACCTTAGTTTTCTTTTTCTTCATCCTTAGGACCCGTGATGCAATCTGGATGGTGGACAGTGTCTCAGCATAGTTCCCTGCAGTAGCTGAAATGTGAGCTATCATTGTGGTGCGGCAGTTCATATTCCCCAAGGACTCTCGAAGCAACATGGTGAGCTTGCTGTCTCTGTAAAATAAAATGAATTAAAGCTACATTAGCGAGCAAGGTTTCATTTCGGCCACCATGATGCAACTTGTGTCTTGGTAAGATATTTTCTCCTCTTTTTAATGGAATCCTAATTAGTTGCCTTCCTCAGGTTTAGGCTATGCTGCTTTTGCAGCTGAGCATGCTGAAAGACGCTGGACTACAATTCAAACTTCTTGTCCCAGTTCCTGCCTTCTGTCTTTTTCTGGTCTCAGTCCTACCAGCACTGTTACCACTGCCAAAACAGAGATGCAGACCAGCACTGGAGACCGTTAAGAAGCTAAAGCAGCACACATCAAACTGCTACCCTTTGGAAGTGCAGAGTGCGCAGGCAAACCCTGGCCCAGCTCTGGAGGACAAAGAGGGTAGTGGATTAGATTAGAGAACACAAATTTTTTCTTGCCTTCCAGGGCACTGGATAACTCAAGGTTAATAGTAGTTAAATCACTGAAGTCAATTTTGGATGCTGCTGGTGAAATACAAAACAATCAAGTCTTCAGACTTCACACAATTGTTCTTTCATATTAGATCTTTTCTTCCACTGAGGCGGAAATCAAATTTTCTCTTCTTGCCACTTACTCTATTGTTCAGCATCGGATAGCTTTTGAAATGCTGATGCCTTATTGTGGGGCTGTCTGTGACTGGACTGAGAATATGAATTTTAACAGCATGATGATGCATATAAAATAATTCTGTGGTGGTCATCTAATCCTGTAGTCAGAAATGCAAAATATACAATTTTTAAAGAGACATTTATCTACATGATGTACAGGTCAACTGGATGGTTACTTGGGAAATGGTATCCTCTTGAAGACAGCCTCTCCTATGCTAAAAGTTGTGGGTGATAGTTACGTACAGCTGAAAACAAAGACAGCGACAGTTTGATATTTATCTATTGGTAAAGAAATTGCTTTCACTGTTGCAATGACAGCAACACCTTCAGTGGCTGCGGATCAGACTTTTGGGGCTCACTGTTCAATATCTGCTAATCATCTGTGGTGCATGTGTGCCCTTGGTCATTCACTTGACATTTCCAACTCACAGGAACTCTTCATAAAGCTGCAACTGCTGGGAACTGAACCTATGCCTACCCGATTGGGACTGATGGACAAATACCAAAACTCTACGACCTCTCTTTTTGATTAATAAACAGCAGCATTTGGGTTGCATATTTTGATGCATCTAGCAATAACTCTGGAGAGCTCATAAATCGTGCATCTCCTGAGATTTCTAGTACTTACAATTTCAGCTTGGCTAGCAATACTGGAAGTAAAACATTTTTTCGTTTTGGGATTTCTGCTTCCATCTGCTCCAGACACAGTGAAGGCATCAGGTGTCTTTGAGAAGCAAACAAATATCCATACAGACTACACTGAGACAGCCTCACTCATTTCACTTGTGACCTAAGGCTGCTTTAAATCCACAGATTCAGAGTTAATAAGCTGCTGTATCTCAGGTTAGTGTCCCTCCTTTCCATCATGGAATAATTAAGATGTCAAATTTTGTACATCAGTTGCTGCCACTCCAATGCAGAGTAACGCGGAAATTATTAACATCTGCACAGAAATCAATAACAAGCCTTTCATTTGCCAATGCTTCTATCATAGCAAAACACGAGATGACAGAGGAAAGGGCAAAAGAATACATTCTAAACATGTTGGTCTCCTGAGAACATATAGCCCATGCAGCCAGCATCAGCAAACTGAGGTGTGGCTCAGTTTGCATTAGGTATATGCATTAGGAATATAAAATAATCTGTGCCATCTGCCTGTACTGAAACACACACTTGCAAGAAGAATGACAATGCAGAGGAAATACCTATTATATAATTCAAATGATCCTCTGACATATATCAGTTGGGAACTAAAGGGCAGATTTGTCAATGATTAAAGCATGAGACCTAGCAGTAAAAAGCTCAGCCAACACTGATTTCTAATTTCAGAGTTTGTTCATTCAGCAGCCAGCATCTTGACTATCAGCTTCACTCTGCACCAAGAAAAAATAATTAGCCTCGTGTCACTACTGTACACTTAAAAATAAAATAAAATAAAATTATGAAACAGATTTTTGTCAGTTCTGGACATTGTTATAAGACAAGTTCAGCTGTTCAAGGTTCACTGGTCTCTCACAATACCACCTACTAACTTTGGAAGGAATGAAAGAAAATAAAAGAGAATATAAAACACAAAAACGTGTGGCTTAATTTTGAACTCACTCTATCCTCTTCAATTAAAATATTGTTAAAATATTTTGGATGTCTCACTGAAATTTGCTTAACAGACAGTGTGAGACACAAAGTAGATGCTTTGTTCTTCTGAGAGCTGACATAGCATTTCTGCCTGAAAAAAATGGAAGGCTGTGAATTGTTTCATTAGGTGATTCATGAGCTGGTATTTGCAAATGCAAAATTTCCTGTGAAAGCAGAAGTTTTACAAAGAGGTCTGCACTTCTGCACTGGAAGTGCTTTGAGAAGCAAGACCTTTGTTGATCCTCTGGCTCTGTAAACTAAGTGACACAGAAATTTCGAAGAAGCTCACAGAAGGTCTGCTGCTCCTGCGTGCATGTTGCTCATTGTACTAAGCAGAGGCTGGCTAGCAGAACATCCCAGATTTCCCACAGCAGCATAGTGAAATGCAACAATGTTTTTATAGCAGACGAAACTTCAGGAATGCCAATGGTCTATTTCTATTCTGCTCCAAAAGCAATAAAAATTATATGCCAGAGCAGCACGATGACACCATTTAATATACCTGTCTTCATTTTAAATAAATTTCTATCCCATCAACTAATGTTTTTATAGTTTAGGAAATTCACCATAACCTATCATGAATATGAGGATGTAATACACAGAGAAAAATGAAGATGTGGTCAGGATACCACACTTCAGACTTCAATAACTGTATACTGGTAAGTCAATTCTGCAGTTTTTTCAGTATTTAAAAGTCACCTTATTTTTTTCTTATTACATCACTTGGTCTAATAAAATACATTACTCTTACACCTTTTCTTGCCTAGCTCCTTAGATAATCATGGCTACAGGAAAATGCTACTAAATATTATTCATACATGCCACACAGGTAAAACTCCAAGAGAAAGTATGCAAAGTTTTAACTCTAGGAAAGTCCAGAAGCAGGACCTCTGTGGGCAGGCAACTAAACTTAGATGTCTCTATGAAGTACGTCTGCAGGTGTGGCACAGAAGATTGCCAGGCAGAAATCTTCAGTTAATTCCATGGAGTAACAGCCCTCCATTTGAGGGTTTCTTGCTTCTCCATTCTGCTCCTTTTTCTCCTCTGTTATTTCCACCCTCTCATATTACAAAAGCTGCTGAAGGACTTACAGTGCTGTTAAGTCAAAATCCTTAATTTCATGACTAGATACTATTTTTACACTAGACCCCTACCTCAATCCCTGCACAGGAAAAACAGTGTTCACTGAACTATAAATTATTTAGTCCTTCATTTAATCCTTGCCTTGCACTGGACAGACTTGTCCATTATCTACTGTTATGACTAAACATACTCATCTCAGAACCCCGAACAACTGATTTCTTCAAAGGCTCTTTATTATTTTTTCTTTTCCCTGTGGAGTTCATCAATGCAGTATCCGATTAATGCCTCTGAGGCGAGGTACATAATCCTCTGATCATACCTGAAGCATTAAGTACAAGTGTTTGGTGTAAAGCACCAATCTTTCAGAATACTGATCATTGCATAGTCTTTCACGTTCAGCTAACTTTGACTTCTCTTGAACATAAAATGTGTCAGATGGTTCTCAGTCTGGGTACTCAAATAAAACAGGAACATACAATTAGTAGCCCATCTAAAAATTTTAGGAACACATTGGCAGAGCTAGTTCTGAACGTAGTACCGGTTCCCTTCAGAAGACCTTCCTTCACTTCCACAGTCCTCAATCCCAGTCTCCATACGCCTTCCAGTTTCTGTTACAAATCAGGGAAGGTTTTATTCACAATGACCACATTGCTGTACAGTCTCAATTCATGTGTAAAGCAAGTCGTTTATCTGCCTTGAAAAAGATGATACTTGGGGGGAATCCTGAACAGACAACACAATGTATAGCCCATTAATTTTGACATTTCCTGCCCCTGTAGCAATTGATTTCAAAATCCAAATGCTCGTATTATTTGTATTTTATGTAATTTCATGTGAATTTGTGGTTACACTTCAATGAGACTCCAGCAAGCCTGGAACATTCCTATATGTTAAATAGCCTCAGTTGCTGAACTAGATGGTGGCAGCAGCAGCCGCAGGCTGCCACCTTTTGTTTGGACAAGCAGTAAAGAAGGAGAACATGACTCACAATTTACCATGGGGTTTTGCTAGTATTTGCTGCCTATAGAAAAGCAGTGAGACTCAGGAGTATCACAATCCTTTGCAGTGCTGTAGGAAAGCTGTGCTCTAACGTGTTCATGCCCTTTTTGACATGCTCTTCTCTCGTCAAACAATCCTATTCTCTTCTATCAGTGTCTATCCGGGGGTTTCTTCATCTAATCTTCTTGCTTGTTCTTACTCCCACATCATGACACTCACCCCTAATTCCTCCCCTAAACAGCCTGGCAGAGCTCAGTTTCATCCTGCAGTGGTCTAATCAGCTGCACCAGACTTTGCCACTCTCCAGCACCACTGCTAGACACTCTTCCAGGATCAATCTCCTCTTTCTTCCCCTCTTCCTCCCACTAACATCCTTCACTGTCGTGAAGGTCCTCGTGACCTCCAAGGTCCCTCTACCCTCTGAAGTCCCCCTAATTGCTCACTGATACACAGCAGAGGAATCCCATAACTCTGCCATAATTTGACATGGCTGCATGAATCACAGTGCCCAGTTGAGGTGTAGGCCAGGGTGAGGGGGTGTAATATGGGCAGTGCCTTCCTGGATTTTCCTCTGCCAGGTCCTCCAGCTTGACAAGAATCCGTGCAAGCAATGTGTTCAAAGTAAGCTACACAGAAAAGAGGCAAATGGTAA